GCCCCTTTACCAATTTCTAGCTACCCCCCCCCACTCCCCTTCCTCCTTTCCCACCTCTGGTAACCTTAGTTCTGTTCTTTTCTTTTGAAAGTTCAATGTAGTATTGTGATTGTTGTATGCTTCTTTTTTTAAAAAAAAATTATTTGTTTACTTTTATTTTTAGCTCTTACTTATGAGTAAGGACATGTGGTATTTCTTTCTATGCCTAGCTTATTTCACTTAACATAATTTTCTCTAAGTTCATCACTGTTGCTGTGAATGGTAGAATTTCCTTCTTTTTTATGGCAGAGTAGTATTCCATTGAGTATATATACCACATTTTCCTTTACCAGTCATCTAACAATGGATTTAGGTTGGTTCTAACTCTTGGCTACTGTAAATAGAGCTGTGATAAACAAGGGAGTGCAGGTATCCCTTGGACATGATGATTTCCATTCCTTCGGGTATACACCCAGCAGTGGGATTGCTGGATCGTATGGCAGTTCTATCTGTAGTTGTTTGAGGAGCCTCCAGACTGTTTTCCATTGTGGTTGTTCTAATTTACAGTCCCACCAACAATGTATGAGGGTTCTGCTTTCCCTGAATCCTCACCAGCATTTGTTATTCTGTCTTTTTGATAACAGCCAGTCTAACTGGCATGAGGTGATATCTCAAGTGTGGTTTTGATTTGCATTTGCCTGATGATTAGTGATGCTGAGCATTTTTTCATGTGTCTGCTGGCTGTTTGTATGTCTTCCTTTGAGAAATGCCTATTCAGCTCCTTTGCCCATTTTTTAGTCAGTTTATTTGTTTTTTACTGTTACCAACTTGTGACAATTCTGAAGGGTGATTCCAGCCTCAGAGCTCCCTGGGGGTCAGCTGAGGCTTTCATTGATGCTGCATCAGAGCTCAGCTTCTCCTTCTGCCCAGTCCTGCTCCCTTCTCTTCCCCTCCTGCTTCTTTCCCTTCCCTTCTCCTCCCCTCCCCTTCTTTTCTGCAGGTGTTGATCCCAAAAGCACTTCCTAACAAACTTCTGTCTCAGAGTTGCCTCCCGGGGACCCTGACCTTTAAAGCTATATTAAAGAACCAAAGAAAAATAATTAACAATAAAGAAGGAGAGGCAGACAGACTTAGGTGGCCTGTCCCCTGTGCTATCCTCATTCCTCCTATATATACTCCCATTGTGGGTCTTCTCACACCACATTATCCTTGCCTCTTTATCTTTCTGCTTCTCCAGTAGATTATAAGCTCCTTATGGGTAGGAACCACAATGCTTTATCTTTGTACCTCTACAGGACCTGGCATATAGTAGGGGCCTAGTGAGTGTTGAATAAATGAATTAGTGCATGCTCAACTGGACAAAGGAAGCTTTTAAAAAGATGAAAGATGCTAAGAAGTACTTCTTTAAAGGAGTGGGCATTTTCCCAGCTCCTGATACCCCAAAAAGAGGTATGCTGAAAACTCTGGTGATACCCCTCTAGTCCCCCTCCCCATTTCACCCCATGTATGAGATAGTTCAGGTAGGAGGCACTGTGCCAAACTTGCCCAAACTCCCCTCCTGGGCTTACTTTGGCAGGTGGGCATAGAGTCCCCGAGGCTCCATCTGCCATTGGCCTGACAGCGGATGACCCTTTGGCCTGTATAGTAGTAGCCAGGGTCACAGATGAGCATCAGCTGGGCCTGGAATTGGTACTGTGTCTCAAAGATGAGCCTCCATCGACCATGCTCCACGCTGATGCTGCTGATATCTGGACAGGTCACAGCTGGGGAAACAAGGAGCAAGGAGGAAAGTAATTAATTAATTATGAAAGATATTGCAAGAGTCCAGAGCTGGGAACTGGGAGACCTTAATGTAGTAATGATGAATCCAAGAATCTCCAGGTCCCAGGCAGGTTGGGGAATGAATGAAGTGGGTTGGGTGGGAAATGTGGCAAACTGGGGAGTGCAGATCTGCCCCCCAAAATGGGGAAGTGGTGCCCAGTTAATGGTGATTGTGGGATGTGAGAATACAAGTTCCATTTGGTCAGATCTTCATTTTTCAAGGGAAGCCAGAAATCTGGATTTTTTTGTAAAATTTCCTGATTTTAAAATAATGGGAAGAAATTCAATTCTTTTTTTTAAAGTGCAGTGTAGGCCAAACATAACAGAATAAAAACCTATACCTTCTGATGGAATATGGCCCTCAAGGCTGCCAGTTTGGGACTCTGATCTAAAAGTTGTCATTTTAGAGTTTTGTGATCAAGGGACATTAATGCAAACTTTGACAGTTTCTGCATCTAAAATGTACACTGTGAACAGGAGTGAACAGGGTCATTCCTAAGTTCTATGGTGGTTTATGGACACATCTAAAGGCACGATGGACTATCATTGCTTTGAGAGCAACTTCAAATGGGATCCCAAGTTGGTAGATGACACCACCTACCCGTCTCCTTTCCCTGAGTTCCCCAATCTCCATGTACATGTTTTTTCCTCATTACTGTGCTTTTAGCTCATGCCTTGCAGGAATCTTCTCAGCTGCTTACCCAGCCCCTTCTCACACCCGCCTCCACTGTCCAGGGACTCACGGACACACTGTGGGGGGACATTGTGGTTGCTCCACAGGCCTGTATCCAGACACTCTGCAGTGGCCTCGGCGCCTGCCGGAAGGTGGTAGCCTTCACTGCAGCTGTACACTGCCTTGGTTCCCACTGTGTACTCCTTGCCAAACACCATTCCATTCTTAGGGGCCTCAGGAAGACCACAGGAAAGAGCTAGCAAAGGAAAAAAATTTCATGAGCATTTCTGCTTCAAGATGGTGTTCTGAGAATATAGCTTTATCTTTCTTCTCCCCCTGAGATCCTAGTAAAATTATAGTAAAAACTAATAAAAGGGCAAAGACTCATAATAAAAAAGAAAAAAAAGAGGATTATCAACAGAGGAGATTTCAAGAAAAAAATCTGGGAGATGGACTTAAGATAGAAGTGTGTTGATGGATTAAGTGGAACAGAGAAGCTGCAGCCCAAAATATATGGGAGGGACCCTTAGGGTGAGAATTTCCTTTCCACGAATATGGTGTAGAGGAATTCAAGCACCTCCTCTCCAAAGAAAATAGGGATTTCTTTTTCATTTAAGGGGCGTGTGCGTGCGCACACACACACACACACACACGAGCTCCCTTGAGAATTAGGCCTGCTATGGTGGGGTTGGCATCCCAGAGGAAAACTCTTTTAATTCTAGGATTTAAGTCCCCTCTGCCAAAGGGCTTCCCCTCTGCCTTCTCATCTCTGCCACATACTCAACTCAACTTCTTATTCATGGGATAGACCTAATGTGCAAAAATGTCTTTATATAATAACAACCAAGGTAACCTACCTCTGTTACCTGGAAAAATGAACCTATAGCCTTTGCTTTTTAAATATAAACAATCAAGGATCACTATACATATGAAAAAAACCCAGCAGTGTGAATGAGATAAACAAAGGTAAGATTAAAAAATGGAAAAAAAAAGCTCCTTTAGGAAACAGATTAAATTCAGAAAATAGAGATAGATAATCTTTATACCTCTGATTAGTAGTATCTTGAGAAAGACAAGGTGACATATGGTACTCATAAAATGAGAACAGAGTGCTTTGAAAAAAGAACAAAAAGAGAACAAGGAAGAGCTCTTTTAAGTTAAAAATATGTTTGCCAAAAAAAGCATTAAATAGAAGAGTTGGAGGTTAAAATTAAAGGAAACCTCCCAGAATATGGACCAAATATAGAGACACCCAAAATGAGAGAAAAGGACTGAAAACACAGAGGATCAGTCCAGGAGGTCCAAAATCCAACTGTTCCGAGCTCCAGAAAGAGAGAACAGAGAAAGCAGAAGCGTATCACAGATGAAATATCAGAGCCAAAGAGACACAAAGAGAACCGTTCTTAGACACATCACATGGGATGTCAGAAGTCCAAAGACACAGAGATGGTTCTACAAGATCTGAGAGAGAGAAAAAATATGCCACCACTCTGAAGGGATGAGAACAGACGGGTGTGGACTTCCCATCAGCAACGCTGGGTGTTCAAAGACAATGGAACAAAGCCTACAAACTGCTGACGGAAATGATTTCTAACCTAGAACTTGACCTAGTCAACCTACCAAGCAATGTGAGGGCAAAAACAAAGACATTTTTATACATTTAAAGACTCAGAATTTTTGCCTCTCATAAATCTTTCATGAGGAATTTACTTAAAGCTGTGCTGTACCAAAAAGAGGATGAAAATCAAGAAAGGGCGAGATACGGGATGTGAAAAATGATAGAACTAACTCAGGAGTGCAAAGAAAAGGAATCTCGAGGTGACAGCTCAGGAGAGAAATGTGTGCAGCCACATGGCAGGGCTATTATTTTATAAGGAGGAGGGTCAACATTATGTTTATAGGAAGAATATACATAACTTAGGCAAGAATAGATGGCTGTCTTTAAAGAAATTAACATCTTCAAACCATACTTGCCCGTAGTTCAGGACCTGCTGTGGATGAAGAGATTAGTCAGAATTGAGGTATCCACTACTGTCTCTTATCTACCTCTCCCTCCGGCAGCTAGTCTAGAGCTCAGACCTCCCTCACTCTGAGCCAGAATAAACTTGAGCAGAGGAAAATCCCACGCATATTGGCCAACAATGATCCCCGATGCTACTGTAATTCCCAGAACTAAGAAGAGGCACTGGCTGGGGCTCCATTATGACATGGGGAAGGGTGGACTATCCAGAGGGAGAGAGGAGATGGAAGAAGGATTCAGAGGCTGGACATGGGACCAGAAGAGGAGGAGGATCAGGAACAGACAAGGAATGAGGACACAGGAGAGCATTTAAACAAGAGATTCTTCTGATGCCTAAACAGCAAGCCTTTGAGCTCCTTCAGTGGTCCTACCTCATTCAAATTGTCATATCAGATCAACTAACTGCCGTGCTTCCTAAACCTTTTGCAAAGAAATACTTCGATCCCCACTGACATGTTGCACGGACACTTAACCTGGAGAGAGCCAGAGAGAGAAGTGGGCGGCCACTTCTCACCGACCCTGCTCCGTGGTTAGAGGACAGAAGATAACTTCCCAGCCTGAGAGACTAAAAGCCTGAGTATTATGATCTCCATGCCAAACAGTGTTCCTCAAACCCAAGAGGTAAGAGGGATGCTTCCTGTGGGTAGGAGAGGAGGGGATATGACCACAAAGTATTTGAAGGTAGTGGTGGAAAGAGATCTCTGTGGGAGAGACTATGGGGAGTGAGAGGAGGGGCAGCGGGAAGGAGAGAGAAAGCGCCAGGAGGCACAGAATCTCTAATGGTGGTGGAGAAGTCATGGTTTGGAAGCAGCCATTGAGAACTGGAAGAACACCAGGACCTCCTGGCCCTGAGTTATGTTGGAAGTGGAGGAGGGGAGGAAGTAACAATCTCCACTTGAAAGGGCCACAGTATACGCCCTCAGAGGACAGGCACAGTCTGCATGGAGGAAGTGAAGAGAGCCTTCTGGGTAGTGACCAAGGGTGTAGGCTTGTTGCTCCAGAAAATGCAGAGGGGGTGGCCGAGGGGGACAGCATCGGTGGGAAGCTTAGGGTGCAAGATGAGCGGACAGAAGCCTAAGGGGGGCTTAACTTTGAGTGGTGACAAGAGATAACAGAGAGGCTTGGTAGGATCCAGCTGGAGCTCTGGAATAAAGACTTGTCTGTGTTGATGCAGTTAGAGACATGGATACTGAAGCCAAATGACGTTTGCCACTTGTGGACTGTCAGTTCTTTGTGACCTTTGCTCAGGACTTATAATAGAACATGAATAACACACTGTTTATGTTCTTTGGGAAAGTGTAGGCACATGCGAGAAGGTTGTGAGGATCAGAGATGATAGATGTCATTAAAAGGTACCTCACCACACTGGGAACCAAAGAAAAACAAAATCAAAGAGCAATGTTATTTCCTGTTTTTGTGTATATAATTGGCAAAGTTTTTGCCTTTTTTAATGCAGTACATAATGTTGAGACTGTGGGAGAAAAGACAACTTTCACGTGCTGCTGGCGGAAGTATAAATGAGGACAAACTTTCTGGAGGGCAATAAGTATCAAAAGCTACACACTTTGCATGTGTTATGATTCAACAACCTCGTTTCTACGAATTTATTTTAAGAAAATAAATATAGATGTTTGTAAAGATGTAATTACAAGTTTACAGTAGCAAAAATATAGAAATTCAAATGATGATACTTAGTTTCCCATAATGCTATGCAATTATTGAAAATAATAAGGAGGTGCAGGTATTTAAGTATGTGAAAGATGTAACAAAATATTAGAGAGCTTTGTGCATTGATGAGCCTATTTTTTATTTTATTTTTTTATTAGCATATTCATTATTACAAATCATACTTATTCATTATGCCCCTTATCCAATCTCTTCCCAGCCCCCTCCCCCCTCTAATAACCACAGATTTGTTCTCTCCTTCCCATAGATTAACTTTCTCTGTTGATTTGTTGCCTAGATGATCTGCCCAGTACTGAGAGAAATGTGTTCAGGTTCCCCGCTATTATCGTACAGCAGCCGCTGCTTCTTTTACTCTGGAGTGTGCTTTGTGGGAAGAGAGGATCTCTTCTTTTTTTTTTTCTTTTTGGTCTCCACTAGTGACTCTCCTTGTGTCAATGCAGTTGAGAATCTGGTGTGCCATCTTCAAGGTGGCTGTGACTATGGCTTTAGCCACTAGCCGCTTTTCTGGCAGTGGTGGCAACTGCAGTGACTATGGTGGGCCACCTGTGTGGAAATGGTGTTTTTGGTGTGTTCTTTATCTCATTGTGGCTGGATTTGGCTTCCCCCTGCTCCTGCCTGATGAGCCTACTTTTGAAATCAATATATGTGAGCAAAGGAAATGTGCTAAAATGTTAACAGTGGTGATCCCTGGTGATATAGGATGATAGGTCATTTTCACCTTTTTCTTTTGCATTATCTACAGTTCCCCCCCCCCCCAAGATTCCTAGTCTGAATGTATTATTACTTTAAGGAAGAAAAACCTCATACTTTATAAAAGATAATGCATGCAAACTGATTGGTACATATCCAGTGTTTGATCAACTCACTTGCTCCGTGAGCCCAAGTCTGAGCATCCCCTCTTCCGGGAGCACCCCCTCAGCTGTCCAGGAGGAAGTTATCCCCTTGGCAGCTCTGGGCTCCCATAAAACTGTTGCTACTCCTGCTATAGCACTTCCTTCCTCTGTCATTGTGCATTTATGTGCCCACATACCTACCTCCGCCATGGCTCTGAAAACACTGAGACTGCTATGCATATGTCATCCCCAGGGCTCAAGCTGTCAGGGATACTCAGTAAATGTTTGCTGAAAGAACAGATTAATTTTCCATGGGGAAGCCCACACTGGAAGTGACTGGTCCTGGGACAAGCCCAAGATGTGAGTGGGATCCAACCACCCTGTGACACCCTTCCCGCCTGCTCCTCACCTTGACAGAGAGGAATGGCCTCGCTCCACAGGTGGTAGCCCTGGAGGTGCCGGGTACAAATGGCCATGCTGTGTCCCACCAAGCGGTACCCGGCATTACAACCAAAGTGTGTGGAGCCGCCGGGCTGGGTGCTGGTCTGGCCCAGGACGAAGCCGTGGAGTGGAGCCCTGGGCAGGCTGCAGTAAGGGGCTGAACAACGAGACAAGGCTCAGGGCACCAAGTTCAAGTACGAAGACAGACATGGTCCTTCCTGTAGGCCACTTCCCCTGTCTCCTCCCCCCGTTTGCTTGTCTTTGCCACCACCAGGTCCTCTGCTATTTAGGACGGTCTGAGAGGTTGATTTTGAAAAGCAGCTGGTCAGTTTAGTAAAGCCAAAACAAGACAAATGAAAATGGAAAACCACGTGAAGCACTGGGTCCCCTTTGCAGCCTGAAGGCAGCACTGGCTGAACAGCTAAGTCCAGGTGCCCCAGTCCCCTCAGCTCCCAGACAGACCTGGCGGTAGAAGCCAGCAGATTTGGTTCCAAAAAGGTGTGACCACAGGGATATAGATATTGAAGCCAGTTAAACCTGGGCTTGAGTCCTGTTTCCTACCAGGTCTGTGACTTGGGACATGTCACTGAAGCTTGTTTAGCTCCAGTTTCCTCCTGGGTAAATTGGTCTGGTGATACCTGCCTCGTAGGTTTTTGGACAATTTAAATGAGACCGTGTCTGTAAAGGCCCCAGCACAGCACAGGGCATGTAGTGCTCAATAAATGGTCGTTCTCCTTCTTTCTGTTGTGTAGGGGAATGGGATGACAGGGACTCATGGCAATCCAGGACAGAAATGTCCCTACAGTGCTAATTTCCCTTCAACATGTGGCTTCAACTCATTTCATTTATTTACTCAACAAATAGATACCAAGTGTCTCTTATGTACCAAATGCTGTCCTAAGTGCTAGGAATGAACAGAACAGACAAAAATCCCAGCCTGCGAGAACTCACTATACAAACCCTGCTGGGGATCCTCAGTTCTGTGAGGCCAGGAAAGAGGGATGACTAGAGGGCCACGCAGAACACCCACTTCGTCTGCTCTGGGAGTCCCTGGCTGGGTCTCCTGGCAGACAGGGGTGAGGCAGGATGAGGGTGCAGGTTTCTCTCACACCCTCCCATGGGGAGGTCCTCTGGCCCGTTATTGGTGATCACATCCCTCTGTGGGTGTTTTCAATACCTCCCTGCCAAGCCTGATGTGTGGCCTTGCTCCTGCTGTGCCCTGTGGCATTGTACCTACGTGTCTACCTCACTCAGGAGCAAGAATTGCAGTTATGAAAATATACTAAGTCATAGTGATAGACGCATGTGCAAATTACATGAGTCTACTGTATTTTAACTATTAAGTACTCATTGATGCACCGTGTAATTAACTCCCTTTCTACATGGCATGTGTATTGTAATAACAATTGACTCATTACTCTCAAACATGTTAGTCTTTAGAACATCAAGGGAATGGCAATTCTTAATGGCTTTTAGATCCTAGTTTAGCAAACAGTGTAGTGAACTGCTACTAAACGGTTGTATTTCCCTTTTATGTGAGCAGCTGCCAAGAACTCAGCCTGACTCTCCTCTGAGAGATACCTGAAGATTTCTTTTTCATCATGAGAAAACTGAAGGAACTAGTGACAGAGCTGGTCACTGACCCTGGGGCACCCAGTCATGAAGCCACCCCCCTCCTCTGTGTGCAGCAGAGAAAGGAGAGTCTGGGTGGGCTTTGCAGAGGAAATGGACTCTGATAGTAAAGATCCACCTCCTCCCAGGCACCCCTCAGTGTCATCCGGTTGGGCATCCCTGGAAGCACACCCAGGGGTTCTTTAGGACTGTTCAAATGTGCCCTCTAAGTCTGGGCTGGCCTTGCAAGTAGGAGGCCTGTGAGAAGAGCTGGACTGAGACCAGTGGTACCTCTGGCAGGTTGTAATTTGACATCCCTTCTGACCAATATTCTTTGAAAATTTGCCCAACATTTGTTTAGAATGTAGACCAATGCAGCCGGGGGAAAGAGTGCTGAAGAGGAACTTAAGCAGGGAACAGGGGCACAGTGGAGCCCCCCAGGGTCATAAGCAATTCATTTCTGCCTCTGAGCTGGCAGAGCCCAGCCAGCAGCTCACTGGATCCACCCCCTTCAAAGTGGGCATCAAGCAGCTTCTCAAGTTTTCTTCCAGCCCCAGACAGTCATCCCCGAGATGGGAGTTCAGATAAATTCAATTTTCTCCATCTCACTGCACTCCCAGGGATATCGTTGTGTTCCGTATAGACTGTTGCCGGGGTCAGCCATCTGGTGGGCCTGGCCTTTGATGTGACTCTGACCTTGGGATATGGTTTGTGGAGCAGAAGAGAAGCTCCTGGACCTAAAATACAGCCCGTCTTTGCTGCTTGTCTAACATTTGCCAGCTAGCGACCCATGTCCTAGGGTTTTCTAGTTTTAAGGAACTTTTATTAACATGTCCTATATTTCCTAAAGGGATAGGAACACCTTTAGAAATCATCAGATCATATATAATAATTAAGCTTTTCCTAAAGACACAGCTGGCAATTTGAGAAGAATAGAGAGAAGAAGTTAAAAGTGGGGAAAGGACTAGAAGAAGAGGAGGTAGGAAAATGCCAAGGACCACTGGTTCAGCTGTGGGTAGGGAGGTTTAGAGGAGGAGACAGGCTCCCAGTCCCCACAGAGGAGCTTGATGCCTTGATGAGAAGCCGGTCCCTGGTTTCTTTGGGTGTTCTGGGTGAGCAACTTAAGGGGCTCGGGGCCAGGGCCCTTCTCACGAGTCCTCATGTTTTACTCACCCGAATACCGAATCTTAAAGCCCTTCCGATTGTAGGCATGGTCAGATGACCAGCGCAGGTACACGGAGTTGCTTGAGCTGGTGACAATCAGGGGAGCTGAGTAATTCCCACTGAGGGCTTTCAGTAGAGGACTCTGTCCTGAGGGTCCTGAAGAGAGAAGGACGCAGTATTACAGACCGTCATGGCGATCACAGACAGCCTCCAGGGCTCAGGGGTGGCGTAACTTGTTCAGAGGCAGCAAAACCCTTAGTACATTCCCTTCTCTCTGCATCTGCAGGTATTGCTCACAGTGCTCTTTCCTCCGGAGCCCAGCTCTAGGGCAGTGCTCTAGGACGTCCCTGCCTACCTAGAGGGGTTGACAGGTGAAATGGAATCTATTTGCCATTTTGGGACTTGACCAGGGTCAAGTGGTTGGTTAATGGAAGAGCTGATTTTCAAACTGGGGACTTCTTCCTGTTGGCCACCCTACCTTTCTTGTGCATAAAAGCAGCTCAGTGCCTGCCATATAGAAACAATATTTGTTGAATGAATACATAGCAATAACGCTAGAGGAAAACGTCATGTTTCAGAGTCATAAGTAACAGAGCCCCCCAATATTCCTTTCCAAGGCTCTTCAAGAAAGGCCTCCCTCTTCCCTTGTTCAGCCTTCAATGCCTGGGATTGCATCCTGAGGGGCCCATATAGAAACAATATTTGTTGAATGAATACATAGCAATAACGCTAGAGGAAAACGTCATGTCTCAGAGTCATAAGTAACAGAGCCCCCCAATATTCCTTTCCAAGGCTCTTCAAGAAAGGCCTCCCTCTTCCCTTGTCCAGCCTTAAATGCCTGGGATTGCATCCTGAGGGGCTGGCTCAAGCCAGGCAGGATGTAAAGCTGGATAGTGCATAATGCAGGATTTCTCACCCTGAAAAAGGCCCTGAGTGAAGGTTCTAGTATGCTGCTGAGACAGCTCTTAGAAGCTTGGAGAAAGTAATGGACTACATTATACAGAGGAGAGTCATCAGAACTGCTGTAGCAAACTGTGAAGGGAGGGCTCAACAGGCTTGGAGAAGTGGTGCGTAGAACAGGTCTCTTGTGGAAGAGCGGAATGCCTTCCAGCTGACTGCATTCATCTGCAGGGCCTGGAGGACATTCAATTGACTACAGAATAAAGAGTGCACTGGTGAGGGGGTGAGCTCCAGCATGAATGACAACCCGAGTAACGGCTGTCCACAGTAGGCTGAAACCGAGGCGAGGAGATGCTGTCACGGAACCTGTCACGGAACCTAGCAGCAATGGGGATGAGAAGACCCCAGAGTGCAGAGGCCACCAGGTGGAAGCATTTAGTCGGGAGCTAGGTTAGCACAGTTACTAAAATTGCAGCCTAACCTGCAGGATCTATGGAGATGGCTCAGAGAACACGTTATTCCTAAGGGCAAGATAGATGGGCAGCCAAAGAGGGCTGCCCCCAAATTATAAATACATGAACAAAACATCATGAGTAGATAACCAGAGGGTGAGGAAAGCCACCCCCAGGGGACAGCAGCAATCCCTTGCCCAGTTTGCAGACCTGAGCCAGGTTTCATTTCCCATTCCAGAACACTTGGACTGAAGGAGAGACAGGGTCTGCGCAAAAGAGGACCCTGCAAAATGACACCAATTGTACATAGTAGTGATTCCTCCAGTTCTTCCCTCCAAAGACCTACCACTATTTACTCAGATAACTGAATATTACAGAAAATGTCAGGTCCAGATACATCAGAGACTGGGGTACAGGGTGTGAACTGATGCTGCTACCTGGGGTTCCCAAGCACTAGGGCAGCTGCTCTGTTACAGCTGGGGTGTGTGAGGGTTGAGGAGGGTAGTAAATGGAGTCCTGGCCCAGGCGCATCTCACAGCACAATCTTAACCACGTAGTGGCCTTGACTGTAGCAGCTGTGCCAGATGCAGGGTGTTAGAGCGGGCTAACATAGTCTTGGTTATGTGGAATGCAGCTATAGATCTGGTGATGCATCCTCTTCTGGACCCATCAGAAAGGAGGATCAGAAGCAGTTTGCATTCACAGGAGGTAGACAACAGTGTATATTCATGGTTCTGCCCCAGAGCTACGTTAATTCTCCTGCTGTCTGTCATGATACAGTCTGAAGGGATGTGGACCATCTGGACATCCTGCAGAACACAGCATATTGGTTCATGATATCGATGACATCATAATAATTGGATCTGATGAGCCAGGGGAGTGATTAGCGTAGACGCCTTTGCAAGACACATGTGCTCCAGAGAGTAAGAGGTAAATCCTACAAAGATTGCAGTGAAATTGTCAGGGTCCTGTGGTCCGGGTCATGCTGAGACACTTCCTCCAAATGAAAGAACAAATTACTGCACCTTTTCCCTCCTGCCACCAAAGATGCAGCACAACGTTTGGTAGACCTCTTTGAGTTTCGGAGGCAGCATACTCTTCACTCGGGAATACTGCTATGACCCACTTGTTGGTTAACCTTCAGGGGTGCTAGTTTTGAGTGGGGCTAGAGTAAGAAAGGGTTGTATAGCAGGTCCAGGCTGCAATGTAAGAAGTAGTTTCGGAGGCAGCATACTCTTCACTCGGGAATACTGCTATGACCCACTTGTTGGTTAACCTACAGGGGTGCTAGTTTTGAGTGGGGCTAGAGTAAGAAAGGGTTGTATAGCAGGTCCAGGCTGCAATGTAAGAAGTGCTGCTGCCTGGGCCATACAACCCATCAGATCCCATGGTCTTGGGGTTTCTGTGGTGGAGAAAGACATCACGTGGTGCCTCTGGCAAGCCCTAATAGGAAGACTGCATCATAGGCTCCTGGGTTCTGGAGCAAGTCCACACCATCTGCAGCAGAGAACTACAGCACTGAACTAACTTACCATCAAAGATCTCAAACTCATCATACTGCTTCTCGCTGAGGAAGTACTCCACGGTGAGGGAGATGTTATACCCGGGCTCCACTCTCACCAGCCAAGAGCAGGTCTGGAACTGGGGGTAGCTCCCAGGGTAGCTCTGACTCAGGATCACACCTGTGGAGGCTGTCAGAAGCTCATTCGTTGGGCAGTGCACTTGGAGAAAGAGAGAGAAGTAGCAGGTACATAGGGTGAAGGTGGAATTAGGGTCACCACATTTGCTTTTCCCTGGTGCAGAAGACAACCATTGGAAACCAGTACTACTGAAAATCAGTACCCACCCACCCACTCCTCACTTGAGCACCCATTCATCAAACAACACCCACCATGTGACCTCTCACTCCATGGGGCAGGGACTGAGCTAAGACCTGGAAATAGAAGAGGAGGAAAACAAGGGTTTTGTCTGGGAAGAATTCCAGGCCGGACAGAGACATGGCTCAGTGCAATTACCTTCACATATCGGGGGTGGGCCTTCAAACTGCAGGTAGGTTCCAAGTTTGCAGGTCAGGATTTCACTCCCCACTAAGGTGAAGCCAGGAAGACACCTGTAGCGTACAATGTCACCTGCCAAAGAGAGATCAACTTGGAGATTCTCTGAGGAAGTCTGGGAAGGACTGATCAGCACCCCTTAGTACCTGGAACCCACTTCCAGGCAAGACAACCAGTGGAAGGTCATGTTCTGTTCAGACTTAAATAATTAGCTCAACTCCAATTGAGTGGCCCAGACCAATGCTGCTTCCCTCTCACGGCTCGGCCTTGTGAATGTTTTCGTATTCTAAGAAACTTTATACTGTCTTGCATGATTTATTTGTCAAAAACATGCGGCTTGCATCACAGAAGAAAACCCCTTTCCTGGTTCCTCTTCCTCAGTATGGCTAAAAGGAAGCGTGATTGTATTATGGATGCAAACTCAGGTTGCAGAATGGCAACGCTCTTGCACGGGGCCCACTGTTTCTCTCTCCGTGGACAGGAGGCAGAGCTGAGCCCCTCTGCCTAGCCCCTCCCCGCCAGCCCGGGGCTCACAGTCCTTGCTGGTTTGGGAGGTGGTACCTATGTTGAATTCTTCGTTCTCTGTGATGACTTCAGCGTTAGGGAGAATGGTGGGCGGAGGGCACTTGGTGAGTGGATAAGCTGAAAAGACGAAAGCGGACAAGTCAGGGTACAGCATCATTTTCGGGCAGTCATTCATTTAGCTTTCACTTTCCCATTCCTCATTCACTCACATAACAGATATTAGTGAGTATCTATCTGTCCA